ATTTAGCTCAGTTTAATGAAATAACGCGTTAAAATTGTATAGATATCGATTGTGCACATAGACAATGCTACCAGCTGCTACATAAGCTTGAACAGTGACATACCGGCTAAGAAATAGACGTATCGAGTTGCTCGTTTTCCTTCTGTGTGGTGTGGTTTTGTATCACAATATCACTCAAAACAGAACATTGTATATACTGTATGGGCCTTTTCACCAGAAAAAACGAAGTACACAAATTGCAGCCTACATTAACAATACTATCTTTGGGAAACTTTAATCTTGTTAACCTTCTAACAACGCAATACTTTTTATCCACAGTATAAGCTGATGTTATTTTCGAAATGCATTCAAAGCTGAGCAGTAGTGCCCTACGTTTGCCAACAATTCGTCTGCGTGTTGCTAAGGATATTATTCTTTATAATCGATGTGGAAAAAGATAATCAACTTATTATAGTAAATGTAATCAAACGATGATACAGACAAGTCTTAGAATGACAGTTTCTAGCAAAATGATCAAAAACCTAGCAATGAATGTTGAAATGGCAACAGAAGACCATCAATAAACGATATGAGCCCCACTTTGCAGTTACCCCGCAGCGAAGACAGTGTGGTAAAATTGGGGGATCCATACCAGAAAACGCCCTTTCCAAAGATATATTTTGCCAGTGGGGGGGGGGGGGGGGGTGAGGAGGCGTCCGCCTACTCTTTGGAAAGGCCTCACTACGCTACTGCAGCTTCCTTAGTTCGTTTCTCACAATAAATATTGCAAAATGTAGTCTGCACCTAGTATCTCACTTGTTTTCTGTAGTCTTCGGTAGGCTTTTCTGCTTCGCTGGTGATTCGCTGACAAACACAATACTGACTGATATGATCGGTTTAGGCTAAGGCCAAAACTAAGCAATGCTTGAGGCAATTTGTTTTATTTCTTCAGTCTACAGAAATCTTGCACCTCTTAAGAAGCTAAATCAGCTGGTTGCATGAAGTTATCTGAATCATATTAATTGGCCTAAGCGAAAAAGCGACTGATTGATATCTCGCTATTTGTCAGACATACCATTGCAGCTTTGGAGATAATTTGTCTTAATAATCTAAGAGAGTAAAACAAATCCTATCCACAAGCGATTTGAATCAAATCGCATTCGTCACAGGCTTTAACTTTTACAATTAATCCCTTTAATTGTCTTAAACTCCTTTCAGTCCATGTTCAAAGACCTTATTGATGTAGTAAAACAGTAAGAAGTGGTCCTCAACAATTCTAGATTATTGCTCCCGCCTCGGGAACTGAAGCTTCGTGCTTCTCGGACAACTATACAAGAACTGAGGGCACATGCTAGACAGTCATGACAACAACAACAACAACAACAAGAGTCTAAAGAAAAAGATGATTGGTGGTGATCACGTGACCGGTGGGAATAATCTATAGTGTACGACCGCGAAGAAAGTCAAAGAAAATAAATGAGTTTTTGTTAGGAAACGCGGTGTTACTATGGCCACTCTATCCTCAGCATTATACGCCATCCCTTGATCTCTTTGGCTTTCTTTCGCTCAGCATCGTAAAACATGGACGACTTTTTCCTAGGCTCGCCGAGCCAATGGTTGAGAGGCAATCACCTTGCTGAATCGTTTGATTCTCAGTTACAAAACTTTTCTTCAAAACGTTTCTTTCAACATATGAAACTTTGAACACAAATCAAACATTATGAGATCAATATCATCATAAAATTGGATATTAATAACCAACTATTGGTTATTGGTGTTGTAACAGGATGACATAACTACATTTTCCGCAGCAATAATCAACCCCTGATGTAGTCTTACTACATTCATTTAATTGTAAAGGAATGACAATTAAAGACACATTACGAGCTACAACTGAAATCAGGTTCACGCCTAGTTCTGGGCCAGTTCAATAGAACCAAAGACTTTGATAGAACGAGGCACAAAGGTGTGACCTGTTCCATTCAGTGACCTTCCTGGCAGTCCAAAGATAGCAAATAAAGTTGTTCAGCATTTGAGACTGGCAAGTTTGAAACAGGCCATGTGTACATATCGATAACAGGACAAAGGCAAAGAGGCATTTAACCCGTCTATAAGCATGACCGTCTCACTATAAATTGCATGATCACGTATTCATTTGTAAGCTAGGTCGTTAAAGTGCAGGTGTTTCAAACAACACGTGCTGAATCGCCTTCACACGGACATAGTTCTAGATAAGCATATATGCACCTCATATCATCTCTATTTCGTTTCACAAAGGCATTGTGGCGCCTGAAAGCATGTACTGTCGTGTCACTGCTTTTCTAACCACAACATGCAGAGCTTTAGTCGGTTGGCTGATTTAACTCGTGTTTTAAAGGCGAAAATATCTTGAGGGCGATGTCGTCCGATGTCGCCAAAGTGAGGCTTTGCAGCAGAGCGAGACTGCCAGGAGCCATGGATATCCAAAAATCGTCTTTATTTGGAATAAAATTATTCATGAAGAAAAAATTTGAAAACGAACGTTGCTTTAACCGATGATCAAATAGAGGTGATTGAAGTTGGGCAAAGAAATGCGTAAAAAGCATAAAAAATAACTTGCATATCCCGTAAGACGCCCCAGTGAACTGAAAAACGAACGGGCGAATTCAGTTAACTGCACTGTCTATATTGCCCTGTTTGGTCTTAAGTGAACAGCAATTTCAAGAAATTGCTCTAAGCCATTTGGAACTGGTTCAGCCATTGACACATAAAAAAGTTTGCAATACGATGAAGGAAACTAAAAACTCATATTTACCTTGTATTCTAAGAGACATTACGAACCTAACAATTGGCTTAGAATCTTTTGTCTACGAAATGTCTAGGAATGAACTGTCAGGATCAAAACTATTTAAAGACCATTTGTCAAATGATCATAATAAGCCACTACCCCCGTCTGTTTACACGTTAATAACGTAGCAAATAAACCAAAGCACTGGAGTATGAACCAAAAATCCCAATTCAAAGATTCATAAAACACCGATGGCAACTATAAAAGCATTTGATTTCATTGGATCAAACATGATTAAAAAACCAAACTTCATAAATTGCTCAAAATCCGAGAAATCTTACTTCTTTTTCTTGGCGTTTCGCTGATTACTGGTTATGTTTACTTGTAAGCCTGTGTACTGGGTTCATTAGGAACTTACCATAACCAGGGGGACAGGCTAACACGACTTTGGAATGGTTAAATATTATGGGTAACTAGGACTAGCTTTGAAAGGGGACGTGTCATTTTGGTTCAATATTTGCACCAATAATTCCGCACATGTCTGAAAAAATGTGACCCATAATTCCGCGAACATGATGAAAACTTTAACAATAATTCCGCAAGGCCAATAACATTTTCAAAACACAACACAAACTCGCAAAATTACACATATTTCATAATTTCGTTACTAACGGGACATTCATTTTGTTAAATTCTGATAACAATTTCGCAAAATTTCCCCAAATTGGTACCCATAACCCTGCATGTTTCTAACCATGCAAATGGTACCCATGATACCTCATGTATTTCAAAATTGGTACTGATATAACTGCACTTAAAAGAAAAAAGTACCCCTAAATAATCGCACGACCCCGTACCTCAAAACTTATTAAGGTACCCACGGGATCCTGCGATAACGAAATCCGTGGTGACCAAGAATAAGGGCTAGTAAAAGTGGGAGTTCGTTATATCGAGGGACTGTTAAACAGGGGGTTCTTAAAAGCCAGAAGTTCGGAATAAACAGGGCTCGTAATAGAAAAATTCCATTGTAATCTAAACTTGGTTGAAATATAAATGTGAGAAGGCCATAAAGCAGATTGGCTCATCCGTAAACGCGAATCACCTCATATTCGCGCGCGTAAATCTCAAGCCACTAGGTCTAAGCAGAAAGACACTAGTTACAGGCTTCGACGTGACCAAGGCTACGATCACTGACAACAGGTTTTCCGTCAATTACTGGGAAAGGATTGAAACATGATTCCACATGAGGCAGTGAATTTGTTCCAACCACAGGTCACAAAGACCTTGGAATTAAGTAGTCTAAAAGAAGATTTAACTAAAATTCTGAAAAGCTTTAAACTTTAAATAAATCTTCTCGAGATTTTGCTTTCAAGTATTGCGGAATATCTTAATCGATGAGTAAAAAAGTCTAAACCTTAAGAAATCTCAGGCAGAAAATTGAAAGAATTCATAGATTCTTTCGAAACTTGAAACGTTTGGCGTATTTTCTTTTTTCACCTAAATGATGAACGTAAGTGGTAGAAATGCAATGAAAATCATGTTAACAGCAATATGACCAGCACATGTTGACCAAAGATGACAGTTAGCATTCGAATGATGGGTGCATAAAAAATTGATACAAACAGTTGATTATTGATTGAAATAAAATATGGCCTAGCCCAATATGATACCAACAGTTTACGTCTTAACTAATTGGATGTAAAAACTTTGTATATCCCTGATTTTTGGAATGTCTCAAACTGAAAATCGAGCAGACTGGTTCTATAACATAACACAATTTTGGTCGCACTATAGTGCGAGAATTATTCTTTGTCCTTTTTAATCAAACAGTATTTTTTAAAAACCCGTTTGAAATACTTCATTTTCAGGGTGCAGGTAGGTATTCAATTTATATGCTATGGAACGCTATTGTGACGTCACCAGGAACCAGAAATCATTAATCCGCCCCTGGTCACATTGAATCTACCCCATGCCTCGAATGAAGTTCTAGCAGTAGATCAAAAAGCATCCATCTTTGATGGTCAAGATTCTTTTTTGTCGAACTTTACTCTCAGCAGGTAAAGTGGAAATGGGTGATGTCATTTGCAAGGTTAGGCATATTGTTTTATTTTTCTGTTGGGGGAGGGGGGCAAGGGGGTCAAAATACCAGAAGAAATCGCCAGGTAATGCTTAACGTCATTACTGTAATTGATGGTCAAAAGGCATCTATTGACGAAAACGAATAAGAACACAAACAAACACAAAATTTACTTACTTGTCACAGGAAGACGATTTTTCTTTCGCTTCCATGGCTTTTTTTCACTCAAAATGTGAACACAGTTACTTGCTGGCAATTTTGAGCAGTCTGGCAGAAGTTCTCTAGAGAAGAACTTGTCAGCTTTAGCGGCAATGTACTCCGTTTTGCATATGTCATTTTGCAGTTTGAGACAATCGTCGCGGCATAACTCCACTAAACTGGAGGAATCTGGCGTTTTATCACTGTTTTGGGCACAATACGGAAACTGTGTGTGGCAAAGAAGTGGGAGGACGTACGGGCGACAAACCTTTGTGATCAGGCCCTGCTTCATGATCGATTTGTACGTATCTAAAAGAAGAAGGCATTGATTTATTAACGGAATAGGTCACTGAATACGGGACTTTAAAAAGCAATAAGCAGAATAATTGCTCATGTTATAAATTTTTAACAAAACACTGCAAAATGTCAATTAAATAATATTCAGTTCATATTTCTTTGCAAGAACTTGTACACATGATATTACGGCTTCAAACCAGACAGTTTTTAAGAATCGCATCTGCTTCATTTACAAGCATGGATATAAGTTTTAATGAAATATGCGATTTTGTTGTAGCATAGCAAGCCCACGAGCGACTGTTATTCACAGAAATTAAAGAATTAGATTTAACATAATAAAAACGACAATTACATGCAGAACAAAAGAAGTTAAATGTTTTGACTAAAATGCATAGGACGAGCGTAAGCAATCAGTTTAATTCAGGATTTGTTGAAATAAGAACTGTTAAGGACAAATAGGGAAGAATAGAGACTAGAATTTTGGAATTAACAGAGAGAGTGGCAATTCCACGAGCTTACAAGAGAAAGATGGCGAGAAATGACGACACAAGGAAGGGCCATGGCAGGAATCATGTAGCAATAAATAAATTGTTCAAAAAGGAAGAAAAAGGCGGGAAGCAGATTTGATCTCTTCGAGGCATGCGAAATAATAACGAACTTTCATCAACTGCGAGCACTAACACGTAACTACAACTGTGTGAGATCATATGACGCGCTTTAATCATTGCAAATGACTACATGTAGCGCATGCGCGAGTGGCTAACGATGAAATTATTGCAGCACAGAATAGCAAGCTTGCTCCTTAGTCGTGCGCAATAAAAACGCACGAATTGTTGAATTATCCAGTTGACAAATGTCCCACAAATCTCAACAACAGCAGCAAGGAAGGTACATGACTGTTATAACAAGGGTAATAATATGTGAGATAAGTTGAAGTGAACGTGAAAGAGGTCATTCCAAAAAGGCTGCTGCGGATCAAATGTTCCTGTATTAAACAAAGATGACTGCAGCGGATAAAATTATCTGATGTGGGATATTAATTTAATAACGAGATTAGAAAAATAGTGCAAGCTGAATTAAATTTGTGATCAAGTGAGAAGGTTTGATAAGCTATCAGTAAATTCATTTATTCATATATCAAAGAGCCTGTTGGAAACCAGGATGAGTTAAATCGCAGTGGATTTAATCGGGGGAAATAGCGACCGCAGCTAAATCTGTTTCCACACAGGCTAAAACCAAATGTTGAAAGAAGACAAAACGAGTCATAAAACTGGAATGCAGTTAACGACTGTATTCGATAAAATGGTCAGTTCAGACGACACACGTGACGCTCCTCCGATAGTTACAAGGTTTATGGATTACAAACACAGCATCCAAGGCTTATAAAACTTACCGTAAAAGCTCTATTAAGCACCCCTCTCTATGAAGCCCCCTTCTGTATTAAGCCCCTTTCTGTATTAAGTTCCCTTCTGTATTAAGCCCCCTCTCTATTAAGCCCCTCCTTATCAAGCATAAACGTAAAATAAGTCCCCACTCTCTATCAAGCCCCCCCTTCTTTAGCCTTTGTTGTCAAACATAGTAAACATGCGCATTTAGTAGGTTTGATAATAAGATAGTGTGCATTAACTACGGCCCATTCAAGACGTTCTTGTGCACCTAAGAAGTCAGTCAAATTTGTTTAGAAGATGTCCAGGGTTATCAGTTGATCCTGGTGATTATTATGAAGATAAGGACCTTATAATAGACTTTCGAAGCTGCTAGATAAGCTTTCTGAGAACATTTGTATGACATTTTTAAAACAAAAATTTGACAAGGGCAATTTCAAAACATTTTTTACTTCAAGTTTTTAATAAGCCCCCTCTCTCTAATAAGCTCCCTTTCTTTTAAGCCCCCCTCTAGGACTGAAAAAATAAAGCCCCCCCCCCCGATGGCTTAATAGAGCTTTTACGGTATTTGCTAAAGTCATGTTAGCATCTCGCGAAGGTTATTTAGCCACACTATTAGAGCACAGGGAATAAGCATCGCCTTTCTCCAAGCACCATTTTTTGCAAAGAGCGTCTTCTATCCAATTTAGGTATTCACAAATTCTAGAGGAAACTTATAAAGCTAGTTTACACTTGGTTGCATCGAGTTGCTTCAAGTTGCAAAAACTGGCAACAAGTTGCAGTAACTTTGTCGGGAATCCTGGAGACCCAGTAAAAAATCAAACAAAATGGAAGCAGACGCTGGCTGTATAGCAGTGCTGCACAAACGAAAATTTAGACGAAAGCAAAGAATTGTTATAATGGCAAAGAATGTTTCTGTCCTTATACTCGTCAAATTTTGTGTTATAATGGCACGGGTACCTCTCGAGATTTTCAACTAACGTGTTTAATGCCTCGGATGACCATTCGAACTTGATTGACTTCGTCATTTTGAACTGAGTCGTCACCGGGAAACACACGACCACAACACAGAGTAAAAAGCACATGATATTTTGCAGTATTTTCATTGGCCAGTGACCTGCAACCTATTGCAACTTCACCTGGAAATAGGATCTCGACTCTAAATTAGTCGCGGGTTGAAGTAGGTTGCAAAATAAAAGTTTCAGTAAGTCGCACGCCCGCTTACACGTGACACTTTTCAGTCTCATCTCGTCATGTTTGTGCGACAAGTTGCACGAAGTTGCATTTGAAAAATTGCATGTTTAAACCATGCGTAAGAGTTTAGAAACTCACATGTTTTTCTCGCGAAGTGCTACAACGCATCACATCACATATCACACATCACACATCACACATCCAGTGGCGCAGAGAGGGGGGGGGCAGGGGGGCAATTTGCCCCAGGGCCTCGGCCTGAAAGGGGCCCCCAAATTATTCTGAAATTTTTTTTAAAATGTCTTTTTTTGAGAAACTGAAAAAGCATTCAAAGATATGTTTGTTAATATCGCAAATGATGGCAGTAATTTCATTGGGTCCGTGCACTGAGTCTTGTTTAAATTTAAGGCCTATCAGCTTTATTTATTAAGTCTGGGGCCCCGAGAAAAGCTGAATAAACCTTAGATCACATATTTTACGGATTCATCTTTTAAGCTGAGTTTCCCTGAGTTTCGCAAAATCGTACTTATTGGTGGAAGGGAACCCTGATAAAAAAATTAGGTAACCCATATAATCTTGTTTTAATCTATGTTTTAATCTATTCTATAACGTGCGCAAACGTTTGGAAATAATGGGCGTTTCCCATTTTAATAGGGTGTGGTCTCGAAAATTTTTGTATCCGACTCTAGGGCCCCAACCGGGACTTTGCCCCAGGCCGCCTATCGGCGGCCCTGCACACATCACACATCATCAAAGATAAACAAAAGTGAAACAGTCAGGGATACAGAAAGCATGATACAACACTGATGATTGATTTGTGATGTTAGAGACTCGGTTAGAGATGCAGGCACGATGAACGAGACAGAAGGTCACTGTATTTATCATAAAGACAATAGCAAATACCAAAAACAGAAACAAATATAGGAAGTCTCTTTATTCTGTTAATCTAACGAACGAACGAACTTATCCCTAACGAACGACCTAAACAGGATTTTGGTATAGCAGCCGTTGGGGCTACTGTATCATTTTTTTGTTAAGGCCAATGGGTAGACATGCCTATCATGCTCCCATTCACATCGTCTTTGTATCTTGTTTTTATAAAATGTGCTTCTTTAGATTGACCATAAAAAATTACCAATATGTGCCGAAAAACAGGGTCAAAAGAAAAAAGAGATGTTTTGCTGGACTTCTATAAAAAAACGATAATATAACGATAAAATATTTAGCAAATAAAAATCTTTTTTAAATCGATAACAAATTTGAAAGAAGCATTAAGTTTGTTTGAAAAATTCAAGTCATGGAGGTACCAGATATGTTCAGAAATGTTATGATTAGTGTTGGCTGCTAAGGGTCGATCCATAGTCAGGAAAACATCACGGTCGCACGGCCACTGACCGGAGGAAGGTCCACGAAAAACAATAGAAGCTCCTATGACACACCCAAGCCACGCCCACTTTCTATTGTTTTGTGGGGAAAGTTTGCTTTCTGGGATGTTTTTGTCTGGAGGAAGGTATGACAACCTTTATGGACTCTGGATCAATCACTGGCGGGTATTCAAAATGTTTCTTTTCATATGGAGGCGAACGGAAAAAGGAAAAGAAGAAAGAGGAAAAAAGGTAGGCAAATAAGAACAACCAAAACTGTATCATTCAAAAGGAATTTCATGCCTTGACATATTTTTAATGATTTTTTCGCAGCCAAAATAACAATAACGTTCACATAATAATGATGAGACCATGAAAATAATCCTTTTTTAAAAAACTACAAGGAAAACTTCGAGCAAGGCAAATAGGGCAAAATTTCATCCGGAGGAAGATTAAAGTGTTTTCCGAACTCTATCAAACTGTAAACTCTTTCGTTTTAGCAACCGCAATTAATCTTGTAAAAACCCAAAATATATTTCGAAACTTTGTTCACAATTTTTTTCTAACGCTGCTCTTCACTCCTTACCCCTACCCATTTTCAGGAATTTCTGACGCATGGAAATATTGGGAATGTCTTAAAAAAGGGAGTCCTCTTTGCAACCATTTTCCAGGGACGAGCTGAACGACAGCCTTCACCCACCAGAAAAAAAGCTTGGGTGTCCCATGTAGCAGTATCTGTGTGATCCTATAAAGAGACACTTTGAAGGAGGCCAATGAACGAGAAAAGCCAGTATTTACTTGGGGAGGAAAGGCGTACTTTCGAATGTCATTTTATCCCAACCTTTGGTAAAATAAGATAGTGGCAGTTTATGGAGGCCTTTTATCTGAAGGGAATAACACTAATAATGCTTCAGCCGATTAAGCGCTATGATTCCCCAGCTGTTGCTGAAATTTTACAGAAGATCTTTTTTTAACAATCCTACATTTTGCATAATCATACATTTACTTTAAAACATGTTGAATCGTTACTGTCGATCAATCTTGACCGAAAATAACAATGAATTTGAATTTACTTCTTTCCATATGTTGTGACCAACTGGTTGTTATTTTAACAAATCTTCTTTAAAAAAAGGTTATTATTCTTGCCCTTAATCGTAGGCATGGTTTAAATAAAGCATGGGTATGTGGTAATGAAAGATGCAGCGTGGATATGCACTTCGTTTTGAAGTAAATAGATCCCTGACGCATCAAAACTATCTGATATCTTGTTACTTATCATTTGATCACTTGATCCCTTTGTTTATCGTCTTCTGATAACTCAGTCCAATATCATAAGAAATGACAGTAAGAAATGGCACAGTAAAATCTGATAAATCAACTTCTTAATAAATTGGGTTCTTCGAGTTTCTCCCATCGCGGACAAAACTTGCCTCCTTGGTTATTCTCCCTATTTAAGCCAGCTTGTGATAACTGCTGATAAACGACAAATGCTGCTTTCATTTTACAGTTCGAATTGTAGGAAGCAATGTAGAGTTTACATTGATAATAAAAGATCAGATAACTCACCTCTCAATTTCTTCTCTTGGAATAAGAAACTCTCTTTGCTTGTTGCGTATATGGCACGTGGTGGATTGATCTCGTTTTTGCATGTTGAGTTTCTGTATAACAAACAAACGGGGCCTGCAGGCACCTGTGGCCTCCTTTCCGTGTATGTGCTGAAACAAAAAGTGGCATTTTAAAGAACACATACGAACAGACGTCAAATGTCTCTAGATGTAACTAGGAAAAAGAATAGAACAATTCACGAAGAGAACGGAGGGGGCGAAGAGGATAGGAAATTTGGTAATGGAATAATAAATGTAGAGGCAACAGGATTAATTGGAATAATAAAAAATGACGGCAAGTAAAAACAAAGGTAGTAAGATCAAAAGTGGGAACTCGAATCAACGGACGAGTTCCAATAACGGACACACAAATAAGGGGCACCTTCCAGCAACGGTCACCTACTAATAACAAATTCTGTTCATTAATGCATACTCTCAAATAACGGACAACTTCCAATAACAGACACTCTGCAATAATGGACACCTTCCAGTAATGGTCACCTTCTAATAACACACGTTCTTCATCCATGCATACTCTCAAATATGACACTGCTGCGATAACAGACAACTTCTAATATAAGCAAACATTCCAAAAACGGACACCTTCCAATGAGTACTTTTGATGCAATTTACTTCATTACTCTATAGAAGAAGCCTAAGTCTACATTCTTTGGTTAATAAAAACCAGATGATTTTCTAATTTGTTAATTTGTTAACAAAAAGCCAGATCGATGTTCTAAAGTTTTGCTAATTTCATGCTCGGGTGTTCTTAAATATTGTCTTATTCTAATATTGAGTTTTGTAGATCTACATAATATCAATTGTTTCTTAGGCAACTAAATACCAGTTTTGCAAGATATCTTGAGTAGCAGGGTTGCTCTGCCAATAAAATCTGATGTAGCATGATTTTGTTAACAACAGAGCAACGTTTCAAAACACTTTGTGCTTTCTCTTCTAATTTTTCGTCTGGGACTAGGACGTTATCATAATACTCTAATCTATTTTGGCAAATCCAGCCATGGTGTTCTTATATACAAAGCGTGTTTTTAAAAAAAGAGTGCAATGAGAAAGAAGTGTCTCTAGATGTAACTAGGAAAAAGAATAGAACAATTCACAATTCTTTGCAGCAGCGCTTTTTCTGTTACAACGAGAATCGAGTGAATCGTTGATCTACCTTAACTGAAACAGCTCAAAACCACTGAAACATGCTTTGAAAGGTTCAGGTCGAAGCTCCACAGCAGAAAGTACTATCGATTCTTCGCATATTATTTGAGTTACTGGATTATTGAAGAGGCAGTTATTCAATTCGTAAAAAAGATATATGATTTATGCTAGGGCACTTATGGTTTACAGGGCTAAAGCTCAGCTAATTCGGAAGAGAACTTTGCAAAACCATGGAGAAACTAACAGTTTTCAATGAGAAACAGCAAAATTCAAAAACAAGATTGACAAAATGTAGTTCTCAGTTGTCTAAAATTCGCAAATCCAGCTGAAAATCCTGACTTAAAGTTTTCAAACGCGATAATTAGGTGTGGATTTGCAGGATAATCCAGAAGTAGGCGTTGTGCGAAGGCTGATAAGGAAAAACAGACAAATTCGTTCGCTTATCAACGCACTTTAACGGCTGAAACCATGAAGACTGAGGACTGGAAACAAAACAAAAACATTTCTACATGGCAAACTGGGCCTAATGCCATTGGACTCTTTTTTAAAGTAAAACCAAGCAGGCAACTTTATCGACTAGAAGTGAAAGTCCAAAGATCAATTTGAAAACAATCATGCCAAGCGGACATTCCAGAAAACATTTTCAAGTAAATTGCGAAAACATTGCGAAACACACTGTTTAATTCGAATGTGTAAGTTGATAATGAATAGATCAAATTATGAGGTATATGATTTTGCGAATAATTTCGATGCTTGCCTGGGATCTATTTGAGGACATACGTAGACTTAAATATGCTAAAATCTGTCCCATATTTGGCCTAAAAAATTTCATAGCCCCATATTAGTAGCGGGAACTTGGTGCAAGAATGCCCCCTAAAGTAAAAACCGTGGCAGGGTTGCCCCCTAAGGAACAATAGTTTTTTAAATGCACGGAAAGAAAACTCATCCAACCTGCAATGGCTGGAGAAATGTCTATCTGGACTTTACGAAGCAAAGCTTAAGAAGGTTCTATGTGCCATACATCATTTCATTATTCCTACGAGCCATTCCCAATCTTTATAGTCTTAATTGCTTGCATTCACCACCAGGACAGAAAATGTCACCAGACAGGTAGCCAAAGAACGAACAATTCTGTGATGTCGCTCGCAATATGAATATTCAAACGAAAATTAAATTTTTCGCTAACGAAAATAATCATCAGTTGCTTTCCGGTTGATTCACAACCGCGGGGATAGATCCAGTAACTCCAATGTTTATTCAACACACGGACAGTTTTTGCCATGGTAAAATCGACCTTGAAACTGGCAAGATATTTTGTAGCTAATAATAAACACTGCTCTTTGCCTCGCATGAAAAATTGGCATGGGCAGCCTAGCAATTTTCCTTTAGAAAGAAGGATTCTTTAAGGAGAAAACGTTGTAGAAATACCGTAGAAATCTGCACCTGATTGGCAGGCGCAAGGGGGTTTGTCAAAAGCCCCCATGCCAAAAGGCATCCTCTTCACAGAAAACGTAGAAATTATAGAAATAAAAATAAGCAGATAACTGGAGGATATATCATACTTGAAGCACTGGGAGACCCCTTAATGAGGTCCTGAAGATTGATAATAATATTTTGTGCATTATTTTGTGCTGCAGATATATCGATATATCCAAAAGAACATTAAAAAAGAATAGAACTAATATAGAATAAAACCTACCGTGATGATTCTGATCTTTTAACTGCAAAAGAAAAAATAACAAATATAACAAATTGATGAATAATTGTACCATAGAATGCGAGGAACATTATTTGCCTCTATAGACCAAATAACAATAAAAATATATGACAAACCGCGAAGAGCTTTAGAACACGGTGCAAGGACAGTTTCTGCCTTATGACTATCACTTCACATTTTGAAAGTGGAATACACAACTAATATCTCCAAATGATCCTGAAAATTGAAAGGGTTTCTGTTGAAGACATTATTGACAAGCCAAAGTTATGCTCCGGTAGCTAGTAGGGTGATTTGGTGCGGGTGACTCCTTGGACGAACTGAGTAGATGACGTAACGACAAAATAGTATCGACACTGATCTTCATCTGGTACCTATACAGCACCTCATGTCTTTTAACAAATTTTGCCACAGCGAGTTTCTTAATTCTTAATTTGACTATGAGATTTTTTAACACAATCACACCATATTTTGCTGAAAAACGTCCACAAACAGTTTGCAGTTTGATTAAATCATGCAAGAAAAACAGCAGTTTTTAATAGCTCTAAAAGAGTAGATAAAGTTTCTTTAAAAATATTACTGGCTGGATTCCTTTGTAACTTCTCGTTAGTTTTGTTGATTCAAAGGAGTTTCTAATGAAAATATTTTCTTTCCTGACATTCACTCAAACAACTGTTTACACACAACTGTCTACATTTTCTCATTCAAATGTTTGTGCAGTTCATGCCAGAATCAAAGAATAGAAATCAGCTATGCCAAAAATGAAGATATCTTTCAAAATTGCCAATCTGAAATCAAATACCTAAGAAACATTTGACGATCAAAAAGGTTCAATGTCAACAAATCAATGGCTTTTTAATATGCTAAGGTGCATAATCACAACTCATCTCCTCTTAGTTACACACTTTTTATATGAATAAATATAGAGGCTTAGTAAAATCAAGGTGTTCTGATAAAATAAGGAGGCTCAGTAATATCAAGGTGTTCTGATAAAATAAGGAGGCTTAGTAAAATCAAGGTGTTCTGATAAAATAAGGAGGCTCGGTAAAATCAAGGTGTTCTGGTAAAATAAGGAGGCTCAGTAAAATCAAGTTGTTCTGATAAAATAAGGAGGCTCGGTAAAATCAAGGTGTTCTGATAAAATAAGGAGGCTCAGTAAAATCAAGGTGTTCTGGTAAAAGCGTGCGTGCTTTTCTCCAGCACTACTGAAGTGTTTACAAATAACTTCTAAAAACATACTGACAAATTTTTAAACATATCAAAGTTGATTCATGGTTACTTTAAAGTGTTTGCATTTTTAACGCCATTTTCGAATTTGGTTCCACCGAAAATTATAATATCTCAAATAATATCAAGAATTTATTAACATCGACTCACCCACAATATATCCCTTGCTACTATAAATTGTTTGGTAACTGTTGCTCGCTCGACACTGGTAATATCCTTGGTCTGACAGACTCGCCTTGTTAATCGTCAAATAAACCTTCTTTGCTCTTGTCCCTCTACAGTAACACAAAAAACAAGAATTGTTTAACCAGGAACATCCATAGTTTGACACAGTTAACAGTTTTATCTGAGAATTTACAATTAAAACACAATTTAAAGGAAGGATAATCTGAAGGAGGTGAATTACGGGTTTTCTCACGCTCCAACGATTATACTTTTCATCCATTCGTTTTCATTTACGATTTGAAAGCTGATAATTCGATGCACGTCTGTTGGGAAATGTTGACTGACATTTGTTTTCTGAGCATTGTTTCGTTCATTATGCTTGATGAATAAATTAAAATTAATTGGGATAATTATAGTGTGTTCTTACACCAACACGACTGTAGAATACTAAAATGAACATTTTTACAAATAATAAAACAGCATCTTCTAGAATAATCAGAAGAATTTTCTTTGGACTTTTAAATAACTGGTGTTGGGTAGGAAAAGATTCAAAAAATTTGTAGCGCACTTTTGTTTTCAGCAACAAAAAATGCCCTCCTGGAGTTTCGGCCTATTTTACAGCGAATCGACTTGAAATTTCCAAATTTGGACGAATTTTAATATAAACTGAAGATATTTAAGAACACGTAATATTCCATTTCCAATTATAAGAAAAAAGACCAAATTTTGGATGCATTCAGTTGGTTTAGGAAATATCAGAATAATATCATGAGCATAATAGTCGCAAATTTACAATTTTGAAAAGGCCTCATATTGATAGCTCACAATGCCTCGTTTTCTTCAAGCACCTAGTAGGAAACGTTCAATACTCTTCAAAGTGAGAATTTGACCAAAAGATCCGAAAAACAGAGTTTATTCTAGTTTATCTCCCTTGTTTTAAAGTCCAGGAGAAGCGATAACGTACGTCTTTGAACGAATAAACAAAAGGCCCATCTGTACTTTTAACCTTTATTCTCAAAAGGCGTTTAAACAGTCCTTGCTATGTACCAGAATTGGCATAAGTTAATACCTAGTGTGTTATCAGGTTTACCTAGCTTTTATTCCATACAGATTATCCGTGATTAAAAACTTGAAGGCTTGCTACTGAGAAAAACAATAATTTCTCATGAAAGAGTTAAATTTACATTATCTACTCATGTAGTCCCGCCCATTTTTAATCTTCACAGGAACTCGGATGCTGAAAAATTACGAGTTCTGAAATTGGATGGGCAATTTTTTAATGACATGAAAATGAATGTCTTATCATACCGCATCCAGCTGGGCAAAAGTCACTTGGATTCTAAAAGGTCTCAGTTTTCATAAAAAAGCAAGCTTAGAGCAGCAAGAAACAATTTTTGCCTGAAAGATGTCTATGGCTATAGACTGATCGCACATATTTGGCTTTCAAACAAATTGAATTTGTTGACTAAAGCAGGAGATTTAAAATCACAGACGGACAATTCCAGACCAGTTTTTCCTTCAGCACAAAAGAAAACTTTCAGCAAATTAATATGTAATGGGCGTCTGGTAATTAGAAAGCTTTTCAGACGTCGAGGTTTCATCGGTGAACACAAGACACAAACACAATATATTATGAATTACTACACTCACGTAGGCATGTTATCTGACGCTTCCTAGCGCTTAGTTTAAATGTTACATAGTGATAATTTTCCACTCTGACAAAAATTACATTTCATAAATAGTTATTACTCTCTAGAAAAAAGAGAATCAGCCGACGTTTAAGGCGGGAAAAGAGGCACGTTTAGAGCTGGAAACAAAGCATTATCAGGGTGAGGAACAAGGCACATTTAGGGCGGGGAACAGGACATTTTTTAATCTTTATTCTTCAAACCGTTGAATCCTTCGATGTACCGAATAGGTGCGAAGAGAGAACATTCTTAACAACAAAAAATGCTTCTCTAAGAGAGGAACGAGCCTATCACCCCCAAAAATTTCATTTTTATTCTTATTTGCATTGTTATAGTAACAATATTCACATTATCCTTGAATTGCTTACCTTGGGAGACATCACAGGTGTCTTTAATATAAAGAAATGTCTTTAATTTGGGTCTTTTATATAAAGAACTTAACTTTCAATGCTTTTAAAAGAGGCTTGTGAGTTTCTACTCTGGAAATAGATTCCCACCTAAGCAGTCTTCCCTAGAAAACATGTCCCTAGCCCTAGCTCAATAATGGCCTCGCGATGCCTCTAGTAAAGGTTCGTATAACCCAAATGATAGATTCTATTAAAAGGTATTTTATTAGAAAAAGGACTCCATCCTAGGAAAAAGGTCGATAGCTCTTTCGTGTAGATTGCCACACTCATGATAGATTCCTTCTCTTAAAATAAAATTCTTTACCCTAGGCAAAAGGACATATCCATACATGAATTTCTTACCCCCAATAACACTTAGCCGCGAAACAGTACTTATTCGTGTTGATAACAAACTCTTTTTCACAAACCGCCCATACCAGCGCACCTAGAGCGAAGGTACGTCTTCCAGTGAAATCAAAACTGTAAACAAACAGTGACAGATAATCAAACTTACTTCTTATCACTAGTGATTGTTTTTCCGTGCTCGTTTTCAGACATCGGCTTGCCATTCCAGAGAAAGGCCACGTGCGGCAACGGCGCGCCAGTAACGCGACACCGCAAGCGCACTTTGTCGTTTACGGTCACTGTTTTGTTGCGGGGGCTCTTCGTGAACACAAGCTCTATGATAGAAGCAGTATCATTTCATAATAAATTAACAAGACAAAATATAGATAATTAAACAGAAGACCAGGGCCAAATCCAGTTGGACCACACCTCACAAAATCGACGCTAAACTTTTTGCAGTTGGAAATCGTCATCATTAAGTTTTGTTTGGCTTGGGGCCCAAGGGTTTTGAATGTTCGTACCCTTTTACAAATATCCAGAAATACCCCCTTTTCATCAGCTGACTATTTCAACTTCCTTCAGTGCATCAATCAACTGTACCTACGGTTTTCAATCACGGCGTCAAGTGTATTTGCAAATCATAATTTCTGGATGTGAGAAATATGAATATTTAAATTAATTTTTTTGAAAATTTTCTTAGTCAAAAAGCTACTTGAACAAACAGCATCGTTACACTAAGTTTCGATATAAATGGGTGATAAGCAAAACCAGTCATAAAGTAGCTCAATAAAACAGCGCAGTGCTACCAAAAGTTATCTTGCATTGATTTTCTAGAGAGGCTAGGAAATACATACACATATACAGTTGTGGTTCAAAAAAGGCAGAAAGAAACACGAGCACATGACTGTTGAGATCGCCCAATCAGTGTCGCCTGTCAAATTTTAGTGTCCAAAATGTGGGTGTGAGTTGAGACTTACCTTTGCAGTCCGCACAAGATGTCCTGAAAAATAAAGAATAAAAATCAAATATGTGTGGACACAAAGCTGAATACTCATAGTTAAATTCATGACAGGTACATGATTGAAATTCATATATGGTAGCGTCTTGAGACAAGAATAACTGCTTGTGTGGAAATAACTGCAAGAATATATAATAACTGCTTGTGTGGAAAGGCTTGCGTGTGTGACTACTATTTCTATAAGGTATGGAATGCAGAAAATCAATTTTGAAAATAACCAACTTTGAGCTGGTACGGAAAAATGGAAATGGAATCAAATAATACAGATGAACTGTTCGTCCGACAACTCTAAGAGTGTAAACGACAGACAATGACCATAAGGTCCAGAAGATAAGCGAAACTTATAACTAGATGTGAATGGCAAGAAACGTGAAAGGAGGACGCGTTTGATTGGTTCATGCAACTTCTGTGAACATAATGCAGGGGATTCTGTTTCAATAAAGATTTTTAGAAAGACACGTTAATAGGAGGTGTCCGTAAAATGGCGGCAACACATTGTTTCAAAACATGGCCATATCATTAATTTGATGCTGTTATCCTAAAAAAACCGGATATGAAACTGTTTCGACTCGGTTCTGGTGAAAACAAAAACTTCAGCTCTGGTTCTTTGCTAAGATACTAATAAAAAAATATGAATGGAGGGAAGGCGTGTTTGTTTCGTTTCAAACAAATATATGCTTGGTAAAACGCTTTAGCTATATATACGTGTAAGTTTCCCTTAGCTGAGCGCCCCTTGTAAACCGTATTCTCTGTTTCTTGACTTAACAAGACCGTTTGGTCCTTCTTCCTCATCTACTCTTATTCAACAGAAGCATAACAAAAAGTAATACTTTGAAGACACTCGAAGGACAAGTCTTCGACTTGTTGCTAACCTCAAGGTCCAACCCTTTTCTGAAAAAAATAATCCCACACGCACTTTTGCTTGGCCAAGAAAACAGTTTCTCGGTATTAGGGCTGAGAAATCTCTAAATTATGACAAGTTAAGCTCTGCTTAAAACTTCCAATCGCATTGCCGTAATTTATGCAGAAGGTGGCAGTTGAATATTTCTTTAAACGTATTATTGATGTTTTCAATATTGACGTGTTGTTATGACAACGAGCCAGCTGCAGATCTCAAAACAGTGTTTTGCCTCTTGTCCCTGGCCTTCACGTGTGGTTTTTTGAGCTCTTGAGAAGCCTTATCCATCTGACTGGATAATACGAGAGCTCTCCAAAAAATAGCTAATGCAAATTGGATAACGTCAGTTCGAACACCACAATGCGTTTATTCTATTCAAAGGCATTTGGAAACATCGTTTAAATAAGAAAAATAATAGATTACAGTGTATAAGATAAACCACTTGAAAAAATAGCACGGGCAGTTTTTTCTCATCAAGAATTTAGATGTCATTTATTTGATATGAAAAACATTAAAAACATAAGATGAACTTTACCAAGGAACTGTTCAACCAAGAACAGATTATGCATAAAAGATTTACTTTAATTTTGTCATATGAAAAATTTTAATATGAAATAGACGCATTCATTAAAAGAAACCAAGACTAAGATAACAAAATAATTTTCCTTAATAAATTGCTCGAAAATGGTTTTTTCAAAGATTGGAAGGAAATTATTCGTTTACATGATTATGTACTCATTTTGTGTTCAGGGGTGAAAGATATTGCAACTTTTGACTGATGATGTGTTCTGTTTTATGCTCTTTATACTACCTTTTTCATTTGTTATTTCTCTTTCGAAAAGTAGCTGTTAATACTTGGTTTTCAATAAACTTAATGCTTTAATTATTAGATTGGGCATTAACATAGGGAGAATAGGTGAAGGAGCTGAAAGAGGCAAGGAGAGGCTGTGAAGTGGTTGCTTCAAACAAACGCTCACTGCATTCGTACTATATGCAGCTTCATAGTGTTTGCAAACAAACCTTTATATACTGTCACACCGATGTAAAAATATTCCTTTCACAAGGTACAAACATCCAAACCGTAAGTCAAAAGCAAGCAGTCACCTGGAAAAGGAGAACGGGGGAGACTCTATCTTGCATTAAAACGGAACTGCATTGTGTTAAACACGATGGCATCGATTTCTTCAACATCATGGCACCCAGGAACCTGGTTTACGGTGTTTTCGTGGAAAACCTTCCATGATGACGTAAAAGAGAGAAAGGGTTCCCAACTAGCCTTCTACTACTGATGTAAGACACTGAGATATCACGCCTAAAGGAAACACTATAAGCTATCAACATGAGTCGGCCCAATGTGGATACCGGCTCAGTTGAAGCTGCTTTGACTCAAGCAAAAGCCTAGACTTTCTAGAAGCCCACGGCCCCCAAACATGGGCACCAATGCAGAAATCTTGAAAAAATAAAATAATAAATGGATTATACTGTATTGCCAGGACGTGATGCGATCATAATCTCTTAGATGATGAAAAACAATTACATGGGATACATTACTTCCAAACCCATCTCTCTTAACTAACTTATTAACCAAAAGCATATAAGCGAAAATAGTTTTATAAGTCACCAATTTCATCAGTTGGTAGCCTTTTGGAAAAGGAGAGAAGACAGGAATGGATGGAAAAGGATGAAACATATACCTCTCACTCTTCTATAACCCCCCCCCCCCCCACTCCCTTTTTTTCTATAAACCATGTACATATTTAGTTTTATACTTTGAAAAAGGGGAAATTCATAAAATCTATAAACCAAATTTTAAAAAACTCTAACTTCAAATGATATCTATCAAATTACCTTCAAAAGGACTAAAAGTATCAATTGCAAACATATGGCGCTACAAGAATACGTTGATATTTAAACATTTGTAGAACGTTATAGACGAGCTTCAACTTTATTTGCTTCGATTAAATTATAAGTTATGAATTTCTGATTCAGGGAGCAACCGCTAGGCGCGCAGTTTAGAAATACTGAAAAAAGCAACCGCAAAGGTAACCAACTAATAATACAGAACGGAAAAGCGAAAGCAAGTGCATTCTTTGCAATTGTAAGATTCAGACAAGGCTTAATTAGGTCACATTTGATACAATCACATTGGTAAGACTTGACCAAAACTAGTCGTTAAGCCAAATTTGTAACCATAACGAAATCTAAATACTTTCAGCATGATTGATCAATTGGGCTGTATTGATGTTAGCACAGTTACCTATTTCATTAACTTATTCATATCTAAATTAACAGATCGAATTTAACTAAAATGAAACGAAACTAGTTTAAATCCGACTATACGAGTTTGGCCCACAGTAGCGATACAAGCACAAACGCAAGCGAAGACCTTATGCGCTGATGGGGACGGTCTAGCTAGGCATATATACAAGGCCTAGCTATTTCCTATATTAGTTTTGCTTGTGGTTTAAATGCCCCCAATGGAAACACAGCAATACAAGCACAAGTGTAAGAAAAATGGACGGTTTTGGTGTTATTTTGCTTGTGACCATCCTTGTGTCCAGCCCTTCCTTACTGGTGCATACACTCCTTTATAAGCACAATATAGTTCCTGCCGAGGCTCACTGTTCTTTATTTTTGGGTATAATTTGAGGCTCAGTTTTCTTAACATTGTTCTTATATTGACATTGTTTTTTCTACAGTTACATACTATAAACTGCCCCCAAGACCACCAAATTACAATTTTGTATTTACATTCATAGCATATCGTTGGTTACCTGACAATATCGCTTCATATAAGAAAATTCGCAAATAACACATCGTTTTTCTCCTAATTCTTTATGAGGTTTGGCATGTTCTCACTTTGTTCTTTTCTTGGAAATCGAGCTTTGGTGTTCTTAAAAAAAAGGAAGAAAGCAAGTCTCTAGTGCTTGTGCTTGTGCTGGTTTCGCTACTGATTACCAGGCTTTGCACTTGTTCCGACAAATTCCGGGCGTGCCATTGAGTGACAAAACGGGGAGAATGACAAAACGAAAATATCGCGCCCTATTTACATGAAGATGACATTCTGCAAACAGCACCTTAAATGGTGCAAAATTTCTTGGGAAGAAGGGGGGGGGAAAGAGGTGGAGAAGAGGTGAGAAAGAAGGTGAGGTGTGAGGGTGCAAAATCTCAAAATCATTTCTCCATGTTGGGCGTCTCGCTCACATTATAACATCAATTTTCTTTACACTGAACTTCCTACGTTTTCTCTGCGTGTAGATGTTAACTCTACTAAACAAAATGTACTGAATCGCAGAAATTTACCATATCCCCTAACATTCCAAGAGATTTACAAGACTACAGACGAGTTAGGGGAGTTAATAAAAATTACTTCTTTTCACTCGTTTACAGTCGATGAGCAAGAAGGCTACAGTTTCCTTATGACAGAAATTCCAAACTTGAACGGTCGTTTCACAGCAATACTGCTTTTCCTTGTTGGGCAGACGAGCGAGCGAAAATCTTCAAATGAGTGAGGGAACCCTCCGTCCTGGAGTCAGAGAGCATGCGTAGTAATAACTTCGTTCCGTGTGCATGCTCTTCGACTCCATGACTTCTGTTGCCTCACTCATTAAGTTGCCTCACTTATTAAAAAACTTTCTCTTGCTCGTCTCCCCAACAATTCCTATCAAAAGACATTGTTGAAAATAAAATGAATGGCCTGCTTCTGATATGTAGAAACGATTTCTCCAGCTGGGTCAGCTATATACCACATAATCATTCTTGAATAAAGAGTGTTAACTTTGTTCCAAAAACTGTCTGAATGAAGTTTGCAAATATGATGATCTGTGTCGGTAGCCTTTTGGTAATACAAGAATACTGCCTTACCAAATTAATGGCTTTTGGGTCTTTATTCTTAGTCCCACTAACACTCAATCAAATGCTTTAAGATAATGTCGACCAATCTCCGGAAATTAAGGCTACGGGATAATTCCTTTCCACTGAATTTGATGCTGCTTAGGAGTCGTTCTAAGCCAGGATTTTACAAACACGGCCGCAGGGTTGTACAGCAAAGATCTCAATAACAGAAGTTTATGAAATAGTTTAC